CAAAAAAAAGCTTTAAACAACTTTAAAGTTAGTTATTTTTAAAAATATTATTTATTAAAATATATCAAAATAATATATATATATATATATATATATATATTTTAAATTTATTTTTAGATAACATATCAAAATTAAAAAAATTAAACAAAAAAAATTAAAAAAATATATTTTTTAAATATTTTAAAAATACAAAAAACAAGTCCAAATTGTTTACATTCCCCCAGCAATGTTTGGCCCGTAATTTGCAATTTTGGAGGAGCATCGTCTATTTTTGGCCGGCGATTAAAGAGCAGAGCAAAGCAAAGAAATGTGATCTTTCATGAATGCAAGCATTTACAGAACCAACAAATGATAAATCGCCCACACGGCATTTCAGATTTTCATATTATTCAAATTATGAATTCATACTAAGCTGGTGAACTATCAGAGACTGAGTACTAAGATTTATGAACCTGAGAGGAAAGGAAGCTCAGCTAGAGTCGTGGGTAGGGAGATGCTGAAGTTATGAACTGTCAAGTAGGCAGCAATACCAGCAGCATAACCGGCAAAAGCAAAACCGCTCACCTGAAAAGAAGAAAACAAATTCTTTACTCAAAAGAAGATAAACAGGGAATAACATTCATCCAGGAGATACCTTCCGCAGGTACCAAAAGAAGTCCACTTTTTCCATCCCCATAAAAGCAACTCCAGCGGCAGAGCCAATAAGTAGCATGGAACCACCAGTGCCAGCACAATATGCAACTAACTGCCAGAACTCATGATCTTGCGGAAAAGAGGAGAGATCATACATTCCCATTGTTGCTGCAACCAGTGGAACATTGTCTATAATTGCTGACACAACTCCGATTGCACTTGCAATCAGTTCAATATTTGGAACATGTGCATCAAGGTAATTTGCCAGTTCACGAAGAAGCCCTGCTGCCTCCAGACTGGGGGGAAAAATAATTAAAAATTATTATAACCAAGAAAATTAAAACCTTCTATTTTCCAATGGCAATATAGATTTTCATGAGAAAATATACAGAAAGATGGGACGTTGTATTTGCGAAAGGAAGAAGAATTCTAGTCACTAATAGAACTTGTAAACATCAGTCAAAACCCATATGCGAAAGGAAGAAGAATTCTAGTCACTAATAGAACTCGTTAACATCAGTCAAAACCCAAACCTAGACATAACACAAAACTCAAAGTGAAATGAATGCAGGTAAAAATTGTAAGCACAAAGTACAATCATGGAACCGGAAAATCCATTCATTGTTTGCATGTATACCTGCTCACAGATAAAAGGATTCCAAGGAAGAAAAGGGCTCCTTGAGTGTCGATTCGTGATAAAGCCTGTGGTACTTTTAACCTTTGCCCTTCTGATTCACCATAATGAATAGCATCTGTGAGAATCCAAAGAACTCCAAGCCCAAGCAGCATACCCATGAAGGGAGGCAATCCAGTTAGAGCCTTGAACACTGGAACAAAAATTAAAGCTCCAATACCCACAGAGAAAACAAGCTGTCCTCGAGGAGCCATCTGCTCAGATGCCAAAACATTTGGCATGTCCGGTCCCTTTCCATTAACTTCACTGAATGGAACATGAGTAACATGTATCAATCATCCATAATCTGTGAAGTTAAACTAACCCTTCAGAATTGTAATTCTTATTTTGTTTTAATGTTTCAAGAAGAATAGTACCTAGTTAGGGACAACAGAGACAGGGGGACAGCAAGAGACACAACAGAGGGTACAATCAAGTCCTGCAAGCAAAGGCCAAGTGCTTTTTAACTGATCTTGTTTGGTTAATTTTTTTCAAAGAGCTCAGTTATTACTTTTCCAAGCATTAGACTGACATGCATGCACTACCTATCAACTGTAACATAAATTCCAAGTGCTTCTCCACCTTAATGGTTGTAAAGTGTAATGTGAGATCATATGAAAAACATGTTTTCACCATAGTTATTAAACTCAGCTCAAGGGTTGATAGGGTTAGGTCTTGAGACACAGATTGACCTAGGTCAACCCAAGAAATTTTTTTAAAAAAAATATTTGAGGTTTTAATATCCCATATGAAAAAGTAAGAAACAATTCATGTAAATGTAAGTTATACATGTTGTAAATAATGAACTTTAAAATATTATTTCAAAAAGTTTTTTTATCCCACATTATAAAGATATTATCTTCTCCTTTTAAGTTGGAGTATTTAAACCAAAAAAATTTCTTATTCTACATTAAAAAGACACAACTTTCTTCTTGTAAATATATAGTATATATACTAATGGGCTTCCAAACCACGTTGGAAAAATAAAATCTTCTTCCAGTATTTATATAATGAACTTGAACTAAAACCACTACTAAAAACTCATGCACTCTTTGTTATTTAAAACACACGTAGAAAAGTTTAGAAACATGCTAAAAAAATGCTAAGACTATATATTCATCAATTATTTTTTTGGTTTATTAAGAAAAATGTAAACATTAGAAAAAAAGGTCTCACCCCAGTTACCCCTCGATTTCTAGGTTGACATGACAGGTCGTCCAGGTTTTACAAGGTTAAATGTAGACTTGAGTTTTGCCTACTTCAAACCCGGCCAGGGTCTCGCCAGGCCGAGCCGGGTTTGATAACTATAGTTTTTTGCTTTGCAAGACCTTGTTGAGGTTGTTAAATTACTGGCCTCTGGAATACGACATGTCGTCCAGCTTTTACGAGGTTAAATGTAGACTTGAGTTTTGCCTGCTTCAAACTCGGCCAGGATCTCGCCAGGCCAAGCCGGGTTTGATAGCTATAGTTTTTGCTTTGCAAGACCTTGTTGAGGTTGTTAAATTACTGGCCTCTGGAAAAGAATGAGTCTCATCCAATCATTTTGATAGGACCTCCCTAGTTAACCAGTCTATTTTGAGGGTAAATCCAATGTGCAATTTGATGTATGACATATTTCCCTCCTAACAATGCATTTTAGCCTATTCTCCACCGGGTCTAAATGTACAGATTATGGAATCCATTAAATCAAATCATGGATATGGATAGCAGAAAGACAAGAATACTAACATATCTAAAACAAGGGACCAGCATTATGAAAAATACCTTCATGGTTGGCAATGTTGATACCTGCCCATGTATCCATAGCATGGTGGTTGTAACATCACCAATAGGAGCTATAAAATAGGAATGGAAAAGAAAAGGAAGATCATGAGTAAATTAAGATCCCAATTTTTCTCATAATCTATCAAGCAATGCCATTATGGTGAAACTCTATATTCAGGTTCTGATAAATCAAGATTCAACACCATTCTAGGATCATCCTTTTTAGGTGGTTCAGGCAAAGTTGAACGCAAATACCCTCTTTCACCCTCAACTATAAAAGAGGAATGGAAAAGAAAAGGAAGATCATGAGTAAATTAAGATCCCAATTTTTCTCATAATCTATCAAGCAATGCCATTATGGTGAAACTCTATATTCAGGTTCTGATAAATCAAGATTCAACACCATTCTAGGATCATCCTTTTTTTTCTCCACTCTCTTCTTTATCCAACTGTATATCATCTAAGCTAAACAGCCGAAAAGGATCCACATACCCAACCCCGACTATTTTGGGATCAAGGCTTGATTGATGTCTCTTCTTTATCCAAATTCAACAACTTTTGATAAGGTTTTCATACAAAAATCCTAATCATCCTAAATAGAATAGACTTCAAAGGGAGAAAACTGGGTAAATTGCCTCAAGTTAACACATCCTAATTTTGTTCAGGTAGTGTTAAGCATGGAAACATCCAGAACTTATCCAAGTCAGTACAAATCTAATAACATTTTTCAAAGAGTTATGCTAGTTATGTGAAACCAGGAATTTGAGACAGGATGAGAGACTAAAGTCAACCTATATTCTACAAGATTCTCAATAGGACAGGATAAGTTAGTAAAACTGCCAGCACATACCTGCGGTATTCTGATGGAGGTACTAATTTCCTCAATAAAGAAATCATCACAATGGTAGATGTCAGGTTATCGAGGACTGCACTAAGAAGAAATGTGACAAAACCAACCTGCGGATCCAACATACACTGGTCATGAACAGTTCATATGGAAACATAACACAAGAATGATGAGGATAATGGAGAAATTTCAACTGAAAAATAATTAGAACCAAAAGCTAATCATTTTAGATCATAAATATTAGTACTTTGACTAACTACGGAACAGAGGAGTTGACCCTGCTTTAGAGGAAAAAATGATTTTTTGAATTGGTATATAGGTGCAAGAATTAAGATATTGGACCACAAGCAAAATACATCCTGCAACTATGCTGCTGCCTCATCCAATAATGTCTAATCTACAGAACATTTGAAATAAAGGACTTGTCGGTATGCCCATGACCGAAGAAATATGGCACTAACCACCCAAAGGAGAGTCCTCGGCTTTCGAGTAGTTATAATGTCAGTAACCAGCTTAAATCCTTGGTGAGCATCAACTATCTCTACGATGGTCATTGCACCAAGCAAGAAAAATACTATTTGACTGACTTCTGCAGATGCATGTGTCAGCTCTGAACCAGCTTTATCTGGTGAAGGAGCCTGCACAAGAAAGTCAAACAGCCAAGATTTTAATACGAATATTTAATGGAAAAGGTATGAATTTCAGATAAAAATGGAACTTGAATATAATAGCTAAATCGGTTCATGGTAAACAAGCAAATATTATGAAGCTTACCCCAATGCTTCGAAATATTTAACGGAAAAGGTATGAATTCCAGATAAAAATGGAACTTGAATATAGTAGCTAAATCGGTTCATGGTAAACAAGTAAATATTATGAAGCTTACCCCAATGCTTCGTATTACCCATAAACTCACAGCCATCAATAATCCCACTCCACTTTTATTGAAGGCTAGAAACTCTTCAAAAATAATGCCAGCATATCCTATTCCAAAAAGCAATGCCATAGCAAGATCCTGTCTCAGAAAAAACATGAAGTAAACCACTAGTTTACCATTTTCCATAAAACCTGTCCTAATATGTTCAGATGCAAGTGTTGGTAACAATCGAATTAAAGAACTATCACATAAGATTAAGATAAACCTGATTGGCTGCAACCCAAGAATGGTTGATTGCTACTGCCCCTGTTGCAGCTGCAGCAAAAACTGCAAGAGCTTTCACCAAATCAGTTCTCGGCTGGTAGTTGGCTTCAAAATCTTGTGAGCTTGTTTCATCAAGTGAGCACAAAGGGTCACACGATCCGGATGTTGGTTCCAAATCCTGATTACATGCTAAAGGGTGAATAATAAGAGTGACAATAGCGTAGAGTGTGAGAAGACACCAATAAATTATAACAGCGTTCTCAACAACAATAACATTGATTCTTGAGTAATAAAAAAATGAGTTCCAAAGCAATAAGTTGGACTCCAATCGATATTTCATGTACAGTCAGAGCCCGTCAGTATTTTCAATAAACTTTCCACGCCACAAAGAAAGAGAAATCTGCAGACCACATCTGCCTTTAAAGATATACGCATTCATTATCCATCGAAGATTCAAAGTACGCGACAAAATTAACATATGCATGGAGATAGCACTTCCCAGTAATAATTGCAGAACCATAGTGATAGATTAAACAAAACGATTCATAGGAAATGCAAAACCTTACCGGATAAAATTACAATTTTTTTTTCCAGTTATATGAGAGCGCTACATTCACACAAAACCAAATTCACATGCATAATATGCCAAAATCTAAAATTCAAATTCACCAACCAGTAAAACAAGTAAACGGGACATCCTTAAAATTAAAACTTAATGAAAATGCAACATAAAAGAGAACCTGAAGCTGGTTATCAATGTTGGGCTGTTGACCTTGTCGCTTATTTGAAGAAGAAGGAGGTGGTGATGATGACCCTTTTTCCCTGTCTTCAGCTCTAGCAAGCAGTCCATTACCAAGAATTCTTGAACCTCTTAATTTACACAAAGAATAACCAAAAGAAGACTTATAAGGTAGTGAGGATAGAGGAGTGGAAGAAATAGAGTGGAAAAAATGTTTCTTGAATTGGTTTGCTGTGTGTAAATGGTGTGTCCCAATTGAGAGGGATGCCATTACAGCTATAGACTCTGAAGATTGGAGACGGGAAGAGGCGGGCTTTGTTTCAGTGGAGAGCTAATGATTCCGTGTTATTGCCACGGAGAGGAGATATTTTGAGATTTTTTTTCTTTTTTCTTTTTTGGAGGATAATATGGAAATGGCTTCTTGACAGGAGTCATAGGCGTGGAAAATCCAGAGAGGAGCAGGCTGACGCCACCACTTGTCGTTCTTCTTCTTCTTCTTTTTTCTTTCTTTTTGGTCATTCTCTTGCAAGTTACTATTTATCCATGTTTGGAAGAATGGTATTTATTATTTTTTAAAGTTTTTTTTAATATAAATATATTAAAATAATATTTTTTATTTTTTAAAAAATATTTTTAATATCTAACCTCAAAAAAATTTTAAAATATATATAAAAAATTTTAAATAATTTTTTTTTCAAAATCTAGTATTCCAAACCCCCTCTTAAAACCAATTTATAAATAGGTTTTAAGTGCATTGTATTAACTATAATTAATTGAATTAATTTGATCATTACTAGCAACATGTATTTATTTTTATTTTACTTTAATTATATAAATAAGTTATTTTTTTATCTAAAATTATTTTTTTATATTTCTGAACAACAATATCTTTAAACTAAAATTAAAAGTAAATTTAAATTTACATAACCTTATTCCCATAATCATCATCTTTTTTTAAGATTCTATATAAAAAGAAGAATAGGAAACAATGTAATTTGGGAAAACCTTTTTTTAGAATCCAATAAGGAAAATCAATTTGAAAAAAAAAATTATCAAAATATTTTAATGATCAAAACTATAAAAAACTAAGTAATACTAATCCCCTAATTTTTAAATAAAGCGCTCTACTTATATACAATTTGTAAGGAAGAAATCTTGGGCTATAGAGACATGAGTTGATAAACATATTACAATTTTTACTTGAATTCAAGAATCCATAATTGGCACATCTCATTTTTTACCACAAGATAGGGGAAGTTTTGCTGCTGGTAAGTACCCTTGATAATTATTAAATATGACCTAACCTGATAAATTAATTTAAGACTTGAATGATCATGAGCCTTGACCAAGTTTGAAGAACAAACCTGAACATGTAATTATTCATTACTGAAAATTCACATAAAGTACTCATTCTCTACAAAAACCATATTCCTTTTCTTTCTTTCACAGCACAATTTTTGGGAACACAGAAGTCTATCTATTTTTATAATTATTAAATCTGATATAACCTAATAAATTAATTTAAAACTTGAATGATCACAAGCCTTGCCCAGGTTTGAAGAACAAACCTGAACATGTAATTAATTTGAAAGGACTCATGCAATCTACTAAATTAACCTGAGGTGTAGGTGACCCGGTTCAGCCTAACAAAACCAAACTAATTACCTATAACTATCTAAGTTAATTATTTTTTAGAATGTTCACTATGTCTAGCCTTGTCATTTTTAGAACTGGAACAAATTTCTTTTGGGTGGGAGGTGAGCTAAAAACAAATTATTATTAAAGATAAAAGATTTAGAAAATATAGATATTGCTTTGTGTGCATTGAAGTAATTAAATTTTTTTCTCTTACTTAACTTAATTTTATACACATGAGCTTGTCACCGTATCTTTATCAGTTACTAGCTTAAATTAAAATTAACTATATAAAAATTAAAATAATATTTTATTTTTTTATTATAAAATTAAAAATTCATTAATATATATATTATATATTCATAAAAAAATTTATATTTTTTAAATATAAGATAAAAAAAATTCTTAATTTAAATACTTCAACTTAACTAAAAAATATAAATAATTTTTTTTAAAAATTTTATTATTTATAATATATATAACTTATTTATTTTTAAATTTTTTTTATAAGAATTTAAAATTTCCGGTTACCCAAGAATATATAACTTATTTTATTTTTATATTTTAAAAATAATTTTGAAAAAATAATTTTTTTATTTTTTATTTTAAATTAATATTTTTTTTACTATTTTTATATAATTTTAATATACTGATTTTAAAAATAATTTTTTAAAATAAAAAATTATTTTAATATATTTTTAAATAAATATTTTAAAAAGTTATTTCAGCAACACTTTGCCCTTAAAACGACATGTCGTTACTTTCTGCCACGACAAACCTTTTCAATCGAAATTACACGTGTCAGTTTGGTTCTCCCCAATATGTCTGGTCATCTATAAAGAATGAAAGATAACAGATTGTTGGGTTAGTTACTGTGGCGCCACACAAATTTTCTCGAACATCACCACTCACAAACCATGGCTGCAGCAGCTCAAGTCACTGCTTCTCTTTCCCACTCCATTCACGGTACACTCTCTTTTCTCTGCGCGAGTCTTCATGTTTTTCTATTATATGGAATTTAATGTAGTTTGTGAAATACTAATGTTGCAGCTGCTAGTGCTGTTGGCTCATCAAGAACCCACCTTCCAATTTCTCGATTGCCTACTTTTACTTTTGCACGAAATGGGACTACTTTCGCTACTGGGTCTCCATTGTGTGAGGATTTTAATTGTTTTGCACCTCTTTATTTTCTGCTACTTGTTCTGTATTTATTCCATAGTGGATACCATATTCTAGCTAGCAAGCTGTGTGTTCAAAGTTCAAGACTTTTATCTTCATCATTTAGTAGGATCATAAATCAGAAGGCAGATTTTGTTTTTTCTCAACTGCTCTATCGCATTGAGTACCAAATGAATTTTGATGGGCAAGAGATTGAAAAAATAAATGAAATGTAAAGACTTCTTATATAGAGGCACACTTGGTGTTATTGGTCTAGCAATCCTCACCTTTGGGGAATTGACAGCTAGTTAGAGTTATCATTTACTTGTGCTTGTGATCTCTGAGTCAATAAATTGGTGTTTTCTTAATCTATTGTATCTACTTGTTTGTTCTAGATAATCTGAAATATTTCACCCAGTCAATGCAATGATCCCTCATCCACAAGATTTGAGCTTTAAATGCTTGCTTGAATAAACCTCAGTGCTCGGTAGATGCAATAAGTTTTTTTTTTTTTTGGGTTATCTAGGGGGAATGCCAGGATAGTGGTCATTTGAATTTAAATATCATAATATAGTCTGCTGTTGTATTTTTGTCGCCAAGAAGTTGTGCGACAAGAATAATTTGGAACTTGTAATTGAACACCTGAAAGCAGCTATGCGGTTCCAAATGTTACTTTCTTATCCTTTAAGTTATTGGCAACTAAAGGAACATTAAAAGTATTGGATGCTAATACTGAATTTCTATTCTAGTGATATCAAGAACTTCTCATCAGAAAAAGGCTGCTGGGAGAGCAACGTTTGTTTCTGTAAGATGTGAGCAAAATACCCAGGATGGCAGCAGTGTGGATGTATGGATTGGACGGCTTGCAATGGTTGCCTTTGCTGGGGCCATCAGTGTTGAAATAGCTACGGGCAAAGGACTTTTGGAGGTATGGCATGCGTTAATTATAAGTTTCAATGTCTCGAAAAAGAAAATGCTTACTATCGATTTTAAAAATCATCCAACCCCCCTGTCAATGATCCATTATAAAACTTGTTACTGATACACTGTGTGATGTAAGACCTCAAGACTTTTAACATGCAGCTTGTATTAAATTGTGATTGCCTGTACAATATGATAGTGATGCTACTCGATTGATTAGGTTTGTAACTGAATTGAGTAATCAATTTTGGGGCCAATTTATTCAAATGTGATTTAATTCCCACCTATCCCCCCTGCACAGACACACACAGACATAATCTATATGTTGATGGAATAATTGGTACTTGGTGAGCAATTACTTATCAAATTTATGTCCATTTTGCTTTTGCAGAATTTTGGACTCACAAACCCCTTGCCCACAGTGGCCTTGGCAGTAACTGGATTGATAGGTGTTTTGGCAGCTGTGTTTATCTTCCAGTCGGCATCTAAGAATTGATTACACTTAAGATTGTGTTTTGTGATCGTAAAGCTTGTGATTCTGAAGATATTAGAAGTTACATTTTTGTTCAGGTTATAATGTGGCAATATTTGAGAATGTAAAAGTCATGTCGATCTTTATTTATTCAAAGCATTTTCCTCCGAGATGTTACCTTTTTTTGAATTCCAAGTTGAAAATACACTGATGTGAATTCCAAGTTGAAAATACACTGATGTGAATTCCAAGGAGATGTTACCTTTTTTTGAATTCCAAGTTGAAAATACACTGATGTGAATTCCAAGTTGAAAATACACTGATTTGATATCATTTCATGGTATCAGATCAGCTTCCGTACAAGGATATCTTCGACAGACCCTGTTACGAGGACAACTATCTGATAACGGGCGGTTTTGCTTGATAAGCATCATTCCCAGTCCTTTTCAAAGGCTCTTTAGTCTATTCTTATGTGATGCAAATATAAGTGAATATATGTCTTTATAAAGCTCAGATATATTATGTTCAGCTTCCAGATTACAAGGAAATAGAATCTCAACTATCTCCACTAATGTCACATACATATTTCCTATGAAATGGCATCAACTGCTGATAGAACAGCAACAAAGCAAATCAACTCCATTCTTTACTTGTTCAGAATTTATTCTTTTGCCTTTCTCAGCAAAGCATTGCCTGCTATTTACACAAGGCATAAAAGATCTCTCCTTCTATACTCATTGCTCTTCCATAAGTGCTTTTCATATTTGATCAAATCTTGTTCCTTGCATCTTTTATCATCGTTGGAAGATCTCTTCCTCGGTGCCAAGGCTTCAGCAGTGCACCCTTTCTCTACCTTGATGCGCGAGTGTTTAATAGGTTTTAACTAATTGTCGTATGGGCGCAATCATATCCCGATTTGCAAGACGGTTCCTTCCTAGAACTGAAGTTAGGATTCTAATGGTGGGGCTTGATGCATCTGGGAAAACAACAATTCTGTACAAGCTGAAGCTGGGAGAAATTGTTCTAACGGTGCCCACCATCGGTATCTGCCCCCATAAACTCTTCACTTTCCATGACACAAAACTGGCTTCTGGTCTATCTCGTAGGTCTCTAGTTTCTTTCTTGGCAATATCTCCCGGTTGTCTTTCCCATCAAATGCTTCATATGCATAAAGCCAAGGATCAGACTAGATAATCTTGTGCTTTCTGGGAGAATTTCCAACCATTAATAATCTGTTCGTAATATGGCAGGAAGCGTAGAAGTAGTATATACCAGATAGACAGCACACGTTAGAAAGCATTACCCCTTCGTTTAATACTTGATCGGCTCTACCTGAGATCTTATTCTTATTCTTCTGCTTTGGTTTCATTTATTCCTTAAACTTCCAGCAAAGTTGAGCTGTGGTTCTGGTTTTTAAAGATCTTCTGTTTGCAGCTGCTTCTTTGTTTGACAGAATGATTCGTCTCTCTGATCTCTTGATGTAAAGGATGATTTTGAGTTTGTTTATTTTGCATATCATTCCTCTTTGCCTTGATGTTCTATGACACAGGTTTTAATGTGGAGACAGTGGTGTACAAAAATATAAGTTTCACCGTATGGGATGTAGGAGGACAGCAAAAGGTACAAGCTTTGTGCTATTTTCTTAATTAAAGAAGAGAGTTTGATGAATGTTTTCACAACAAACTGAGAAGCTGTTTTGAATGTTTCGCTGCAAAACAGATTCGGCATCTATGGAGACATTACTTTCAGAGTGCCCATGGACTTATCTTTGTCGTGGACAGCAATGATAGGAGGAGAATTTTGGAAGCACGGAATGAGCTACATTGCATTTTATCTCATGTTAGTAAGCTCCATGTATCAAAAATTAAAGTTCTTCTTTGTCATTGATGTCAGAAAATCCCCAATTATGAGAGGCGAAGGGAATGATAATGGAGAATATAAAAGGAGATTGAGCTATTGATCCTGATTCTCAGTAATCCAGATGGTTTTCCTTTATAAATGCAATTCTTTTCTATGTGATTCTTCATATGCTGCTTACTCTAGGTGAATCTAAACGGGTGGGCACCTTTTCTTTTCATTATGCAGATCGAACTAAAGGATGCAATACTGCTTGTCTTTGCTAACAAGCAGGATGTCCCAGATGCTATGCCTGTTTCTGAGGTTGCTGATAAGCTTGGACTACCTACTCTTAAACAGCGTCACTGGTCAGTCAATGTGTTATGCTTTAAGATTGGGCTTGCTTCTGTTTCTCTTTTCACTCACTTCTCGTTTCCTTTGTTATAGCAAGTGTGCCAAAACTTGCACAACAGCTTCAAATGTGGTAACATGGACTTCTTTATGCAGGTACATTCAAAGCTCTTCTGCGACTTCGGGACGTGGACTATATGAAGGTCTAGACTGGCTATCTAACAACATCTCTAACAATCCAGCATAACATGGGAAATTTTCCCCTGTTTTTGCAAGAAAGCTAAAGGGACTTCTAAGGGTTGCAGTGTATCTTCCTTGCTAAATCGGCCCGGTCATATTACCCTTCAGAGGACGCATTATATGTATCTTCGGAACTTTCCCTCTTATCTTGAGTTCCAATTTCCAATCTTGTTTTGACTTATCAGTACGAAAGGCAGAGATATCAGAGGAATCTCATATAGGATTAGAACCTCCTCGTGCACGTTGTATCCGCCCATGGCTGTTATGTTTAGTGTAAAGAAAGATAGCATCACTGTATAGAATCACCATGAAGCAGTGCTCTCACCCGATGCATTTAGCTTCGGTGCCCTAAATATGACCGTGGGGATTATAACTGGTCCAATAATAGAAATGGAAGCCGGTGAGGAATATGATTGACCATCCAATTTTCATTTAAACTTGAATGCTCGGATACATTTGTGACTTGGTCCTTGCACTTCCAGCTGAAAAGTAATTATTCCGGGCATAATGCAGATGGCTACAACAGAAGGATATGCCCCCATATATTGTCATGTAAAATGTGTCCAGAAAAAGAGGTTCAATTACACCACTCCAGAGATGGAGCATCCTATAGGACTGACCGCCTGATTACAATTTTCAACACGATTAAACGTGCGAGGGAAGCAATAATCAAAATTTTGAGTAACTGAGTTCTTAGGGTACGATATGGACATTATGGCTCATCAGAAATCCATAGACTGAGGTGCAATTGATGCTTTCAATTTTTCCCTTTGACTTTCTTCCCTCCTTTTTAGTTTATTTTTTAATTCGGCTTCTCCTCCGCAACAGGTTCTGTGCTCAGTAGTGTTGATGAACGGATCCCAGGGGATCTGCCTGGAAAGCCTGATGGTTAAGAACCATACTCAACCGTTTCCCTGCAATCTGATAGGAACAAACCATTGTCACATAGCAAAGGTTCATATAAGATAACGCAATGGAAAAGAAGAAAACTTTGACAAGATAAAACATAAGTGAAGCACGCACATTTGTTTTTTCCTTGATTTAGAATTCAATTTACACTCAGCAGCAGGTTTTGATTGCCGGGGAGGCTTCAACTCAGGGAGGAGCTCTGTGAGGGAAGAGAGGTCACATGCTTTCAATTTCTTCTGTCGGCTTCGAAGCTTGTTCTTCTGAATAAACATGAATTATCTATTTAGTTCACTAGATAACAAGGCACAAACTAACAAGATCCCGCCAATGAAAAAGAAGGAATAAGCAGTCCATAGTGAGGTATAGGCACCAGAGCCTATATAAAAACTCCAATTGGCATTTGCACATTTATAAACTTTTGCTTGATTTATATCCATTCTGAGCAACTGAATCAGACCAATACATTTCTTTCAGCGATCGAAAAAGAAAAGGTCAATTAAAGCAAGCACATTCATCAAACCTCTCAAGTTTGTTGTAAGCATTAAACAATAAAAATAAGAAACCCTAGATAGGGCCTATCATTTGCAAAATATCAGAGAGACATAATTGCAACTAATAAAAAGGAAGGTTCTTCTGGGCTCAAAAGGCAAAACATGAATAACAACTCACTGGTAAGCAGTCTGAAACTAACTAATAGAGACACCGTAGTTATAACAGAAGAAACTCTGGATGTATTTTCTACATACACAGCCTTTTGCGCAAGCCTGAAAAGGCAAAATCCAGACCAAAATACGCCATATAGCTATCAAGATAAACACAAAACACCACATGCAAAGACAACTAAAGTACAGATAAATTAAAGTGCAAATCTTGCTTACCTTTGTAATCAACTCTTGAGCATTCAAATCAGCAACTGCATCTCTAACCTCTGCATTGAAAAGCAGATACAAGAAAGAAAATTATATTGAGCATAGAGGTAGAAAAGATAATCCAAACGTTGATTAATCCGAACAGATTCAAAAGCAATACGGTGAATTGGAAGGTTTCTTTCTTTATAGCGTACCTTGAGTACCTTCCCATGATTGAAAATTCTAAGGTCCAATTTAAACAAATTGAAATCCAAGGTAGAAAAACGCCAGGGAAAGTGAAAAATGTGAAAGTAAATGAAGTATATATAACAAGGAGCGCAGAAGTTGTCGATGTCTGAGTGAGGGAGAATCTTCATCCAGTTTGCCAAGCTGGGAGCAAAGAGAATTGCACCCGCATTTGCTAGTTTTGGGCTAAATATGTGGGTTCTAGTAGTATGGTCATTTATGCATGCATGCATGGCACTGTAGGCCCATCAGGTTGGCGGGCTAAATATGTGGGTTTAGTTTTGAAAATTACGGAATCTAGGCCTGTCGAAACTTGAAGCCCAACATTTCTATACCTGCTAGGCTGCTACGTGGAAAAGTTGTCGCAAAAAATAATGGCTTTACGGGCCCATCTCTTTTCTTTTCTTTCTTTGTTTTGGGCCTCCAAGGGGTATGATATAATTTTAGGAAAAAGATAATTATAATGAATATGTAACGAATACACTCAGCAAATCATTGTCATTCAACCTAGCCGGAATTAATCCGATGTAGAAAATAGGTCTTGAGTTTCACAACTTTACTTGATTAAATTAAAAAATTAAAAAAATATTTAAAAATTTATTAATCGTGTCAACTTAAAAAATTAAAAAAATATTTAAAAATTTAGTATTTTATATTAAAAAATTAAAAAATAATTCATGTTGATGTGTGTGTGTATATATATATATATTATAAATAATAAATTTTAAAAAATTATTTTAAAAGATTTTTTATCTATATTAGAAAGATAATATCTTTTCCTTTTAAATTAAAATATTTAAACAAAAAAAATTATAATCTCACACTAAAAAACATAATTTTCTTCTTGTGAATATAAAATATATATATTAATAAGCTTTCAATTTCTTATTAAAAAAATAAAATTTTCTTCTAGTGTTCATATAATAAACTTTGATATGTGCTAGTAACCAACAAGAAAAGAATAGCAGACTTGCACACATAGTGTTGAGACGAGTAAATAAAACCTTTCATTACCCCCTCGTGCATAAGATATCGATGACCTTTTATCTTTTATAATAATTTGTTAATGACCTTTAAAATAAAACTATTATTCTAGATGCTCTTGTGAGATTAAGTGTTTATATATTTATTTTTTGGTTTGTTAGGAAAAAAAATTAGTTTGTTATGAGGTGCCCCTATCTATTAAAAAATTGTTTTTATTATAGATAAATATGTTAATCTTGGTGTTTGTAAATTATTTATTTTGTTTTCAAAACAATCACCTAAGAGAATTTGTTCCATTTATTAATAAATAAGTATTTGAAAATTGACTAATTTGTTTATTAAAAATAAAAAGGTTCGGTCTTTATCAGGTCTCGGGTCTACAACCTCAATTTTCTTCTTCTTCAGACTCGGCCAGGGCTCTAGGTACATGATAAATCTAAATTTAACATGCCTAAAAAACTCTAAAGACTTTTCTATTTTTGGCATGACCAAATGAATGAATCTTTTTCATTGGGCTCGGCTAAATGAATAACCTTCATCCCTTGGAATTAGCTAAGGGAATGACCCAACTCTTTTTGGCTCGGCTAAGTGAATGACTCATATCCCTTAGACTTTGACAAGAGAATGAACTTTCTTTCTTGGGTACATCCAGTTAAATGACCAACCTTTCTTGGGCTTAGCCAAGTGAAAGACTTAATACACTTAGGTTCAACTATGTGCTAAGCCAAGATAACATGAGTCTGACAAGTTATTAGACCTAATATAGTTTGGTTTAGCCAAAGAAAGGACATCGTACACTTAGGTTCAACTATGTGTTTAGTTTAAAGCAATATAAGTCTGATAAGTTGTCAGCCTCAATATAGTTGGATTAAGTTAATGAAAGGACTCAATACGCTTAGGTTCTGTCATGTGCTAAGCCCAAAATAATATAAGTCTGGCAAGTTATCAAACCTAATATAAGTGGGTTCAACTAAGAAATAAACTTAACTCTCTTGAGCACCGCCAAAAAGAACATTTACTTTCTTGAGCCTAACCCAATACAAGAACCCAACTCTTTTGGACTCATCCAAAGGAAGGACCCATCTCTCATGGGCTCGATCAAAAGGAAGAGCTCAACTACTCTTTGTATCATACTCTCTTTACATTCCTAAGTGTATAAAAATCTCCTAAAGATCTACTATATTTATCTTTTATTACATGTTATTAGGGTAAGATGACACTTCAACCCCTTCTCAACATAAAAAAGATTTATGTGCTATAAATATTACATGAATTCTTCAAGCTCTATATTTTCAATTTTTTTCTCTATAAAATATCATCGCACTTTCTCTCTTTAAAAGATATATGCTTCAGCATCTAAAAGTCCTTTCATTCACCAAATAGGATCTTTTGTAGGTATCTTTTACCAGTTATCTTAGTTTACTTGACACCAGTTATCATCTACCTTATCTAGAGAGAATAGATCAAATTTCTAGAACTAAATGGTTAACAAATTACCCAACATATAAGTATTGTTCCTAAGCTATTTGAATTTTTTGGACATCAATAATAGTTTCACTTGTGAGAACCTAATTAAAAAAACTATTGATTTCTTACTAATGCTTGCTTTTTAATATTTCTAAGTCATTCAATGGCATACAACCAATATCCATCCAGGTTAAAATACGAGAGAAGTCTACTAATTACCGTAGACATTCCTACCTAACTAGAACTTCAACAACTCTTCAATCAGATGTAACTCTTCATTGAGATAATTCTAGCTATACAATGTGAGATGAGAAATTTTGAGTTATGCATTGTCAACTTCACAAATACAGTTAGAGCTTTTATATTTTGAAAAGCTTTCAACAAGTATAAATAAAATATTAGTTCAAACCATAAAACATATACAATATCTTTGGTAACAATCTAAGAGAAAAGGGAGAGTTTCCCTTATGCCTGACATTATGCTCAAATGAATTTTTTTATATATGAATGTATTATTTAAAAATGACTATTTTCATTTTTTTTAGGTGATGCCTTAGAGTATTTCAACAATAAACTTTGGAAGGGATGAATATGAAAACTCTGTAGTGCAATAACACAATTATTCTAAGAATGTGTAATTCTCCTAGGAATGGATTGACTTAATCTTTTTAAAGGAAGCAATCCCTAAAATTACCAATGCGCAAATTTGGTCTCTTCAAGGCAATACCTCTGCTTTTTAAAGGATTTTTATATGGTCTCCCTCAAGGCAATAATCTTATTTTTTTCAAAGGAGTAGTTTGTGCCTTGTGGTTTATCTAAAGGCAAAATTCTCTTAAATTATTAAAGGATAAACTTGGTCTCTCTAAAAAAATATCCCCACTTTTCATGGGATTGATACATGGTCTTCATTAGGGTAATAACCCTATTCTTTCTAAGTGATAAACTTGTTATCCTTAGTACAATAACACAATTATCCTAAGAATATGCAATTCTTTTAGGAAGGGATTAACTTGATCTCTCTAGAAAAATAAACCCATCACTTACAAGGGATGAACTTACTCTTCCTAGTGTAATAACAAAATTATCATAAGAACACATTCTTTTAGGAATGGATTGATTAGGTCTTCCTAGACTAATAACCCCACCACTTACAAGGGATGGACTTGCTTTGCCTGATGTGGTAGTTCAATTATCCTAGAAACATGCAATTCTTCTAGAAATGGATGAACTTGGTCTCTATAAGGAAACAACCCCACCCTCTAAGGGATGGATTAGAGATCTCCCTAATATAGCAGCAATATCTTTCACTAACCACTCTTCAGTGGGGGGCTCTCATGCCTCATGTCATCGCTAAAAAAACCACATACCTTCCACTTAAAAAAAATAATGATGATCACTCTTTAATAGAAGGTTCTCATACCTCACTCAAATGCAACCACTCTTTTGAAAAGGATTAATTTGTTTTATGTAAAGGCAACGGTCCTATACTCTTAAAAAGATTGGTATAAGGTCTCCCTCATGCAATAAAACCACTATATTTAGATATTTATAAATAGAAGCGTCATCCTCCAATCAGAATTTCTCTAAATGAAGTTGATTTCCTCTAATAAGTCTGAAAATGAGAGTTACTCAAATGGAATGAGTTCTTCTTCCTCCATTAGGTTCCTTTAACTCAATGAGTTTCTCTAATGGGTTCCTTTAACCATTTAAAAACTTTTCTAAGTATAAATCAACCCTTTATGATTCCTTTTTACATACTTTAAAATTTCTTCAAACATGGTGCATGCTCCTATTCTCATACAAAAAGACTCAGAAAAACTCATTATAATAAGCAATATTACAAGTCTTTGCATATAAATATCACAAAGACTTTTTGGACTTCTAATAAATCAAAATTTAATGAGCTTTAAAAACCCTTCTCCTTTGGGCTCAACCAATGGAATGACCCTCATACATTGGGCACGACCAATAAAATAACCCTTATCTCTTGGATTCATCCAAGAAGATGACCTACTTATTTAGGCACAACCAAAATAATGAACCTTTTTTCTTGGGCGTAACTAAGGTAATGACTCTTCTCTCTTAGGCAAAATCAAGTGAATAACCCTTTTTCGTTGGGCTTGGCCAAAGGAATAACCATTTTCTCTTCGGCATAGCTAAAAGAAAGACTCATCTTTTTTAGGCTCAATGAAGGGAATGGTCTAATGCACTTAGGTTCAACCATGTGTTAAACTCAAACAACATGGATATAACTAGGTACTAGACCCAATATAGTTGAGTTTAGCCAACAAAATGACCCAATACACTTAAGTTTAGCCATATGCTTAGCATAAGGCAACATGAGTCTAACAAGTTACCAGACCCAATATAATTGGATTCAGCAAAGAAACATACACGAATCTTTTAAACACAATTAATAGTCAAGCCCAACTATTTTGGACATGACCAAGGAAAACGTCAACCTCTCTTAGGCTGAGCCAAGGGAAGTATCCAACTCTTTTAGACTCATCTAGGAAAAAGGCCCACCTCTTTTAGGTTCAGCCTAGGAAAGGACCTCTTAGATCTAACTTAAAGGAAGAGCTCAGCTACTATTTGTATCCTAATCTCCTTACACTCATAGGTATATAAAAATCTCATAATGACCTCCCATATTTATCTCTCATTAAATGTTATTAGAGTAAGATGAC